CGGCAAAAGGGAGGCGATGCTGACGTCGGGTGGCAGCGCGGAGGTGAGGCCTGGGGAAGGTCGGTCCGTGGTCTGTGTCTCACCGCGGGCCCGGCTGCGGAACTGCATGGAGCGTAGTTTGCCTGGAGGTGCTGCGGGATACGCTGGGGCGCTGCCGAGGCCGATTTAGGGAGTACAGGCCAAGGAAGTCACGCCTGGGTTGCTTTGTTTCAGAAGGGCGGTCTCGAGGAACATAAAGGTCCGATGATTTGCGAGGGGGACGTTTTCTGCTACGTGTCCTTAGACCTGCCGTGGCTTAGACTGGCAATAACATTTTGCATTTTTTTTTTCCCTTTTTTTGGTAACGCGTTCGTTTTAGCCCGTCAGTTTCACCAATCTGTTTGAGGCAGGAACCGGAGTGAACGCACCCGCAGATGCCTTCGGTCAGTCTCCAGCGCACTTGGCTGCTTGCGGCGGCGAAGCTTTTTTCCTACTTTGGCAACTGCAGACAGGAGCAAATTTGAACCAACAGGTAAAAATAGAGTTTTGTTTCTCCCACTTCTCATCTGGCACGTCAGTAATTCAGTTTATATTATTTACACAGTTTTTATCTAAGAGAGGTTTTATGTACACAGTTGTAACCCATGAGGTATCTGGGGTTGCTTACTTTAGAGTAACTTTATTCTAGCACGAAGCAGAAATCCTGTGTATATTGTGTTAGTGATTTCATATGCTATGTATAATGCGATTTTCACACTTAAAGTGCTGCACACAGATGTCAAAAGAACTTAACTGGTTTACACAAATGAGTATTCCTTTTTCCTCTGAAATTTTGCCCCTACTTCCAGTAAACATAAGGATTCTTCCTCTAGCTACAAAGTTTTAATTTGCTTATCCCTCCGAGCTGGTAGCAGCAAGCTGTTGGTCATGGCAACCCCTGTACGGTGCTGAAAGATGCTGTTAATCAGTGTACAGAGCGTATTCCGTGTAAATAACCTTTCAGAAGGTAAAGGTTAAACAACCAGTATTGCATGGGACAGATTTTCTACTTTGCTGTGACGAATACACTAAACATTTAATGGCAGTTACTGAGTATGCTTTACTAGCTATATTCCTTTAATCTCTCTCCACTCACAACAGACTGGTGTAGAGAGTAACGCTCCGTAAACAGCCATGGTGGAGACCAAGATAGCTTCATCCTCTTCCCCTTCCTTCAAATGACTGCTCTATATAAATTGTGTTTTAGGATTGCCTTGGAGAAGCCCCGATTCACAAAGCAGCAAAAGTTGGGAGTTTGGAATGTCTTGCTCTCCTTGTTGCTGGCGATGCCAAAATTGAGTAAGTTGAGCTACTTAGGCATTTCAGTAACGGCGGCAAAAGATACGTCTATTTTACACAGTACTTTTTCCTGTTCAGAGCGTGCATGCTAAGACTTAATATAGCATGATTACAGTCATAACAGCAGTATTAAAACCAGGCATAGCCATAAACACCAAAGGAGCATAGACCATATGCTATTGTGTAGTTCCACGTTAAAGACCTCTATGGTAACTGCCAAGAGAATATTCCTGATCATAAGTTCTCCTTGTCAGTTTTCCGTTCTGACTAACGCTGTGCTCATCTTCCTCTTGCCTTTCTGATACGCTAAGCCAGTCATAGTCTGATGACAAATTTATTTTAAAATAATTATTCCCTGTTGCATTTAGTACCAGCCCTCTGTATGAGTAGAGCCCCACGCTATCCTTGACAAGCTGTCTTGGTATTGATTCTCTGTACTTATTTTTATATCTCTGTCTAAAGTTAGCACTTAATCTTGATCGGTGCTTGCTCATAATATATATTCCAATTTAATTGAACGGTTATTGTTAATTCTGTGTTCTAGCTTGTGCAACAAGAGCGGACAAACAGCAGCAGACCTTGCACTGGCTTATGGCTTTCTAGAATGTGCCAAGTTCCTCACAACAATTCAGCACACCCAGACAATGAAACTGAGAGGACAGGCTGGTTACTCACTGAGTGACAATCGGGGCTTGCTGAGAGAGGATCCAGCTGCACAGAAACAAGAAAGTGAAGCCAGCAGATCCATAAGCAGGAAGAGGAGAAGATCAGATGGTGTGTAATATTACTGGTTTACTACACTTCAGAATATTTCCCTTTTTTTAAACGCTTTTAGCATTTAAGTAAATAAATTTGGTGTCAGATGGGTAGCAGTTGGATGTAGAAGCCTGCTAGTAAGGATCAACTTGCATAGGTATTGAAGGTTACGGTCTTAGCAAAAATGGATAGGGCATGGGGAATGCCACTGAGGAGGCTACTTTAACATGGAGGGGGAAAAAAAAAAAAAAGAAATCTTAGGTACTTTTACTGATGGAGTAGCTACAGACTTATTTTTGTTTGTTCATATGACAGATCTTGTCTCCTAGCTGACAAAAGAAACAGCTTGAAATCCCAAAATGAAACCAAGGGGAATCTGAAGAAACATGGCTGAACTAAGCACTGGGCAGAGCCAGATGTGTATGCTGGTACATTGTCTCCTTCTGAGAAGGAGGAAAGCTTGTTTATTTTTACTTCTTACAGAAGACTGTTGCGTTTTGGTTTTTTTCCCCCTAGAATACTTGTATTCATACAGCTATAAATAGCTATAAATAAATGAGCATATATCAATTAATTGTCTCACTTTTTTTTCTGTGTAAGTATGAGAACAAAGTTCATAAAATTCAGCACATATAGCTGTTTTTCTCTCACTCCTTTTCTCAAACGCTGCTATCAACAGTACCAGCAGCAAATGCTGCCTTTGAACAGATTCATAGTGCACAAGACAGCTGGCTGTATGGAACCCGAAAGGTAGAGGACAGTTGACCTTTTTGGCAAGAAAGAGTTCCATAAAATAAAAGGATCGGGCATTTAATCTGTAAAGATTCTAGCATAACCAAAAAATGCTATATAAAGTTGTCCTAGCCAAAAGAAGAGAGTATTAGTTACCTAATAAATGTATTGGTAAGAAATACAGTTCACAGCAGATGACTTATTTTTTGAGGTTTCATTTTAAAAAAAAAAATTTCTTCATTTAAATTACTCAAGCAACATTTCTATTTCAACTGGGTTTTGACTGACCTAAAGCATTATTTTGATAAATAACAAGACAGTTATATCTAGATCAGCTAGTATTCTGGTGCAGCATAAGAGTGGAATTTAAATAGTTTTTGGTCGTAGAGGTAGGCACAGATTATAATAGGCGTCCTTGTTCCAAAACTCCGGACCCTTCCATCCACACCAGCCCTGTCCAAGAAAAAGCAAGAGTGTTTAAATCTACTACAAATTCTGTTTTTCCTATCTACTACTATTGGATCTATTTTATTTTACTGATTTTAATCTAAGCTGTATGAATTCTTCCCAAATATCTATAGAATGCCATGACACACAATTTTCAGAAAGTTCTCTACATCCCTGGAAAGACATAAACGGAAAACATTTTACAGACTCTCTCTCTCTCTCCCCCCCCCCATCCCCGCTCCATTCCTCAAAAGTACATCTCTACCCCCCCCTCCACTTCCCACGACCTTCTGCTGTTACAGAGACAGTAACATTATTCTGGAACTCTTATCATTCTCACAGCTTCCATTTCTCTTATCTTGAATCCTTGCCTTCTGTGGCAATAGTTGCTATTTCAGAGCACTTAATATCAGAAGGTGTGCTGTTGATCATGATTAAGAAGAAAAAGTCTGACAAAGCTCATAAGTTTGCAGAGCACCATGTAATTATATGAGGCATTTTTGAAGAAAATAGCTACAAAGTTACAGTCCACTGCAGTTCCCTCCCCTCCCCTGCCACTTCTGATGAGGAAAGGGGGTTCTCCACGCATTTTGTCCTCCTGGACCTTTCCTGAACACCTGTAGCTCTAACAGCCTTTGCTTCTTTGGAAATTGTTTCTTTCTTTGCAAATTGTTTCCTTCTGTAATTCATTTCAAGCTTTGATCGTTATAGGGCTAGCAAAATGCTTCTTCAACAGCTTTTCTAGTTGGGCCCAACCCAAGGGTACCAAAGAAAGATAGGAAACAGAAGTTGCTATTTGCAACTTCATATGAAGAGCAGAAAAGAAATTGATTACTTAACACCTGCAAGATGATGTAGCCACTTTCACAGTTTACGTTTCTGACACTATGTTTACTGTTTCGTAATGTGCTGCATCATCCCTTTTAGTAGCTTTAAATATGGAAATAACACAACATACCCTTTAGTTCTTTAGCGTTTTCCCAGATTTTCAAAACAGCTCAGTATCTGCCCTTTAAACTTAGTTCAGGGCCTGCTCTGAAAATGCCTACTGTTGAATTTTTTTTTTTTAAATTTAAAATTCTAGGTAAATGGTTATCTTCTCTGCTTCAGTAACAGCATTTTACAGGATTAATAGATTTTTCTGTTCCATTCAAAATACCAAATACATTTATTGTATATACTACCGGGTAAAAGGGGAGATGGTTTAATTCAGAGAAAGTAAAGAATGTTTCTTTGTACTGTAACAACTTGATGTAGTTGCTGACTCAATATATCTTCTTCAAAGACACTAAGTTTCAGAAACTACCAGTAAGTAGCATATACGCAGGTTAACTGGGATCAGCGCTTCCTCCATGAGGAATGGAGGAGCCATAGCACAGCCCATTTGTATTTGGCTGTACGTCCTTTGTATAATGCCAAAATATATCTATATACATACATACGTGTATACATTTATGTGCATCAAGCCTCACCTTTTCCAAAATCACATGCAGATCTTCTCCTCCAGTGTAATGTGGGTCTAGAATCAAATATTTTATGTGCCCTGTAATCTCATTCCAAGCCACTCCTAATATTGTGTGAGCCAAAATGCCTCCACCTAAAATAGGACGAACACAAATTGCTACAAATTATACCCCGAGATTGGCTAAAGGTGCAAGCCTAAAATAAAAGTACATCAACATTTTCTATTAACAGATTAGCTTGGTTATCAAAATGATTCTGAAGCTGTACTACGTAAGATTCTTCACATTATTAAACAACGTATCTTTACTACAGCTAGGGAAGATTACTTATTTTACTTTACTTAGTACAACTAGAGAATTTACTTTCCAAATTTCTTCCATGTCAGCAAGGCAGGTTAAATCCTCAACACTTCTACCAGATGAAGTCACGAATACTTCAAACATCTGGTTTGCTCACTTTTTCTTTAAAGAAACTTAACTGTAGAAAAGGAATCTGGTAAACTTCCTGGCTGTAAAAGGACTAAAATTAGAACAGAAATCAGAATTTCTGGATAAGCGTTATCTGCTGTTTTCTACTAAGTTCCATCACTGGATATTGGGGCAGCATAGTCATTTCTGACTCCCCTTTGTCTGGCCTGCAAACACGGAAAGGGGATGTTTTGATGAGCTGGCCACAGGTCAACTCCTGCGTGTTTCTTTCAGAGAGCAGGAGGAATTTATGTCCTTGGGATACTGGAGTAATGACTCCACACAACAGACAAGAATTGCAAAAACCCCAGAACACCACAAGCAAAAAAAAAATAAAAAAAAAAAGCCCCAAAACCCACCCGAAAAAGCCAACCTTTGCCCCTCCAACAACAACAAAAATTAAACCAATCTACACGAGAACATTACAGGGTCGGATAAGTTACAGACTAAAATACTTTTCAATATAGGATTCTAAATTCTTGAAATTCAGACAAAAAGGCTGCTCAAAGGCCAAGAATATTTCATACCGAAAATCTGGCTTCTGGCACCTCTAATTTGAGAGAGTAACACTACCTTTATGGAGTGCCAAATACAGACTGTGAAATTTGCAAAAATTAAAATTTTATGAAAGCTGAAAATGATATTTTCAATATTCTTCATTTTCTAAACCACAGCTGTCTTGGAAATAGTTCAGTTAAACGTACAGCATTCTTATGAATGGCATTTCTTATGTTACCCATATTTCAGATTATTAAAACTGGTCTTAGAAAGACCTTGGATAATACCCTTCTCTTCAAAGCCAGATAAACATTTCTTTTCTGTGACGGGAAGTTTTGGGGAACTGTTTGAACTACTGCTCCTCTAGAGAGCAGAAGTCACCCCTTGAGTTCTGACTTTAACAGCAGGTTTTTTTAAGAACACCGTTTAGATTGACTTTTGTTACCACATTTAATACCGAGCTTGGGAGAAATACTGAGTGAACAGGCACCAGCCAGACTAAATTGTATTATTTTCCAGGCTCCCTTGGGAAAAGCGTAACTTCTAATTCAGCTAGAGTTTTGATGAACTCTTGTCCAGTAAACTGAATGAGTTCTAATCGAAATGAAATTCAGCATAGGGAGGCCATGCACTTTCATGGGCATTCTTTGATACTCGAGCACTTACCAATCATAATTGGAGTTCCTTCAGTCTTGAAATGATTGGCAAGCTCTCTTCCCTGCAATGCTAGTTCAGAACCCTGGCTAGGTAAGAAAAACAACAATAGATTTGTCATCCTCACTAGGCTTAATTCTCTAACTATCCATTATATTCATTAACTGCATAGGTAACTGATTAGAAAACGGCTTAGTTTTCCTGTGTAAACATCCTGGGATAATCTGAAAAAAAGTTTTTCAGTGCAACTTAAAAGATTCCGGTTGGACCAATGAATCTGCGGTAAGCCCAGTTATCACTGGAGTACCTGGAGTCACCCAGCTTCTACGAAGTGTCTGCTGCTCATCCCCCATAGCGGGGACAGCTGGTAACCCCAACAGCTCCCTCCCTCCGCCTGGCTACATCTGCCACCATGGGCAAGTATGAAGTAACAGAACTTCATCAGAAACAACAACAAAAATAAGGTGTTGATAAAGGTGTTTATAATGGTGTCTCTTAAGATAGGTTTCCACTGTAATTGCACAAGCAATTGCAGTACTCACACCCAAGGTGGCTTGAAAAAAAAATAAATCAAATCTCAAATAACATTACTAATCTGTTCAAAGCCACACCAAACTTCCTTGTGTTATAATCTCCCTGCTTTCCTTTTCAACTACGGGGACCAGCCACAGACAAAAGAAGCCTATATGGAAGAGAAAGACACACACACATAACACATGCACATCCGCCAGGCCTGGGAGCTGAAGCAAAATGTCTGATGGAGA